GGCGGGAAGCGCTGCCCTGCGCCGCGGGGCGCCGGGTGCTGCAGGCGCCGCGGGACGCGCTCGCCCGTGCCCTGCGCTTCCCCCCGGCTCCAGCCGCCGCAGTCCTCATAGCAACGCTGTGCTTTAATACCCTGCTTTGCGTTACGCTGGGGTTAGAAAACCTATTCCGTTTGTTTCAGTGGAATTTAGTTGGTTATCTGGTGGCTTTAATTCCGCCTTGGAAAAGCACTTTTGCTATGACAAGCCTCGGTCTCATGGTGAGCTGTGTTAGGGGAAATAACACTAAAGCAAGACTTTTTATCTTTCCCTGCATACTGTGTTTAATCTTTTTAATCTGATAATGTGAATGTGTTTTCTTCTATTTTATTAATTGGCAAGCTTAGCACTGTTTCTCCCAAAACAGCCGTTCATAAGCATATTTTGCTCCCGCATTACCGAATTTCTATCTAACAATGTGAATTTTCCTAAGTGACCGATTCATCCTCAGTATTAAACCTCTCTCTAAGGCGAAGTTCAACTCATTGACTTTTCTAACGTTGCCTGAATTGTAATCACAACTCAACTTTTTAAAGAACTGTTTTTAAAGAGGTAGGTTTTGTTATTTTGTTTTGTTTTATAAGATGTATTTGTTAAAAAAAATTCAGTCTTGCCAAATAATAATAATAATATTTCTATGCATTGTGTGATTCAGTGGTGGTGTTGTTGAGATGTTGCATGTTATGTAGATCTGGCACCTGTACATTTATGTGATATTCTAGAGATGCTAACTGTTGCTGCTATAATCACCACCACTGTCGTTAACTGAAAAATTTACTAGGAGGCTGTGCCAGCTAGCAGGTTTTATGTGTGTCATGGTAAAAATGTGCATTCTGCTGTTCATTTCCTGTTTTAAGACAGTTTTTAATGCCTTCTGTAGAAGGAATCAATATGTTGTGGTAGACAGGAGGTGCCAAACTTCCAATATAGTGTTCTGCACAGATGATCACTTATCAGGATGATGCTTAAAAACACATTAAAAAAAAAAAAGGAAAAAAAAAAGCAAAAAAAGCAATTCTTCATTTTTTTCTGCAAGTGTCTTCTCATTAATTTTAAATTAAAAAGAAAAAAACTTCATAGAGCTAAAAAAAAAAATCTTTTTTAAAAAAACTCTTCCCCAGCTCCATGTACTGCACCAGTACGACAACTGTGAATGTATGGGGCAGGAAGGAATGTGTAATCCCAGATGTTCCCATTAGTGACAGATCCAGTGATTAGCCGAGCTGTTTGGAGCAATTGCGGAACATTCTGAAAATGCCTTTTAATGAAAGCAATCCTGTGATTAACACCAGAAACTGGTGGCAGGGTGACAGTTGTGGGTCTGCTCCTGCAAACGAGGGCCAGCTCAGCCAGGGGCTGGGTTCCACTCACCTTTCTGTCTCCATGAAGCTGCTGGAGCCCTCAGACCAATTCAAGATTGTTGATCTGATCCTTTACACGGGTTTTCCTGACAGAAAAGCTTCCTGCTTGTCATTAATTCTGACATTTCATTTTCAGCTCCTTTTCCACCCTCTGCTTATAATCTGGCCGTGTAACAAATAGACACACACACATGCACAGGGCTGAAGGATTATTTCTGATCTGGGTGAGACTGGCAGGTTACATCCATACGATCCCATGATCCTATCGCAGAAGCAGGGAGGAGGGAAGTGCTAGGTACTCGTCTGTCACCTTTCTCTGCCTCAAGGCACGGTCACCTATGCCTAGACGGTTCTTCGAAATGCTATTTTATTTGTAAAAAAAACAAACCAAAAAAAAAAAAAGGAAGAAGAAGTAAAAAAAGTTAACCATCGATTTTGTAACTTTCCCGAGAGGTAAAGTAACTGGTAGCTCGTGGCTTTGTGCTCCCTCTGCCTAGGCAGAAGCCAGCAGAGAACAACCTCGGCGTGTTTCTCCATGGCTTTGCTTCTCCACGAGCCATTTACCCATGAACAAACGCCTCGACTTGTGTCAATGAGGAGTCCTGACCAAGCGGAGCTCCTGCCTGTGTGGCCCTAACATTAAATATTCAGAGCAGTGACGCAGGGTCTTTTCACCTTCACTTCTAGTTATAGCTAGATCTTGGTCTCCACCAGTTGCAGTAACTGGCTGGCCAGCTGGTCTGCCGAGCTGCTGCTTCACGTTGGCCCAACTTTCCAAACAACATCCTGGGTCCTGCAGCACAACAGCTACTTTTTTTTTTCCCTCATCTTTTTCTGTTCTGTTGTGAACCTAGACTTACCTGAGTTTCCTTCTGCTAAATTTGAAACACCAAAATGATCGATATCGTTTATTTGGTGCTTTGCAAGCTGGAAATGCAATTGTAGGTCTACATTGTAGACGTGGCTCTAGACTGCTGTCAGTGGCCCCATGCCGGAAGCTCTGTTGCAACTGATCATTTTTTGTTATGATTCACTGTTCTTTGAGTGCTGGTATTAATACTGTGGTGGATTAAATATCACCTTCCAATCACTGTGATGCCTTCTGTGTACATGTTTGATTGTCAGTCTTATGGTCTGGTAATTAATTGCATGTTGTCTGAATTGCACTATTTTGCAGGACATTTTTTTTCTAGAGAGAAAAAAATGTAGCATTTTAGGCTCAGCTTCTGAAAGGAGCCAAGGGGGGATAATTCGTCCAAACCTCAGTGGAAAGTGGGGACTTGTTTTTTCTCAGAACCTTTTGCAAGCCACAAAAGCTTGCAAAGCTTAGCTATTTATGAGATAGATCTTTGCATGAAAAGTGAAACGTTTCTAGCGTTAAAAATGCAGCTTTCTGTACACATGGCACCTTCTTAAACAGATTTCTTGACCCATGTTTGAAAGATCATAGTAACCATTGCTTGCTGAGGGGAAGTAAGATTTTGATGCTAAATTCTACAAATCCAGAATAATTGAAGGGAAGGGAGAGATTATTGGGTTCTTTTTTCTAAAACTCAGCAATATTATGAGTTGCCACCCATTTTCAAAGGCACCTGTTCGACCTCATTATCCCCTTTCTGGATGAAATTGTGTTCCACAATTGTGGGCTTGGGGAAAATGGACAAACTGACCTCAACAGCGAAAGTGGGGAAAGTTGATGTAGACTCCGTTTGGCCTCAGAACCCAGGCTGGTCTCCAGAGCTGGGAATTTTTACCTGTCAGCTGGACGTGGTTTGACTTGGAGCAGATAGATAAGGTGCAACGTGGGTGTCACATTGCCATCTCTGCAGGGCATTCTTGAGAGGGAAACTTCACACGGGGCAAGGTCTTTGACCAATGGAGACCTATAGGGGCAGTGAAGTAATTTGTGCCATTTGTGGCAGTTGAAATATGTTTTTTTTTATTATTTATTTTATTGCAATACACTTTTCTCTTTTTTAATTAGGATGGAGCAAGCATATGTTGCATTGCTGCCTGCTTCATTGCTGTTCTCTTAGATATCTCCTTAAAAAAAGGAGATGCACTTTTGTGCTTTGAGAACAAAAGGGCACTCAATGCTAGGGATAAAATAAAACCAAAAGGTCTTTTTTTAACGGCATGTGAGCTTCTTCCCTTGCTCAGCTGCCAGGCAATTAGGCTTTTGAAAATAGTGGGTTTGGTTGTGTGTTAATTGGAATATGACATTTACTTTAACTGAGCTGCAAATTCCAGAGAGATTCTGATCTTTATCACACTTCAGCTCCATTTTTATTACCCTTCTGATAATCTTTAAGAGATCTGGTTCTGCTGCATTAGAGATTGATTTCACTGTCTGTACAATGTTTGCTACTATTGTAGTGTGACTTTTTACTTTTTGCTTTTTTAATATTTGTATTAGTACAGCCTTAAACTTACAGAATTAAAGACCATTTCAAGCATAATCAAGGTAAAGTCACTGATGTCTGTGATAAGTGCATGCTTTATTCACAGTATTTTGTCTGTAACTAGGTGTAGTGACCAATTCTCCTTTATTTAATAAACAGTTTTCTGCAAAGCTGACTGCTTTCTTTAATCAAATGAAAACAACTTATTTTGAAACACATTTTAGACAAAAAACCCCGCATCTCTATTGTACTTTTCATGTATGAATACTGGTGTAGTTAGAAGGTTCCCATGGGCCTGTGAAGCATTTTGATTAGCAAAGTGCAAACAGGCACACCAAGAAATAGTTGCTGTCATGCCCTGTTTAACTTCTAGGTTTGGGTTTCTGAAAACATTTAGGCAATTGCATAAGTCCTTCCCTGCTCAGGAATGTACTTAAAAGCAAGCTTGATTTAACCATGTGCTTATTTAATCTTACTTCAATACAATTGGAAACCTACACCCTAAGAGCTTTTCTGGTATAAAGATGTTTTCCTGAATCTGGGCCTGTGGTCTGGTTATACAAATTCCAAGGCATAGTTTGGCTTCAGATGTTCTATTCTGCACTTAGAATTTCAGTAACTAGTTCTGCTGTCTACACAGCTTTGTTTTAATGGCAATCTAGAATTAAGCTAATGTGCACCCAAGAATATAAAACAGTTGTTTATCAACACTTAATAGTCTCTCCACAAGGAGATTTTAAAATTAAAAGACAAGTAAACCTAATGGAGCTAACAAACCCTTGTCCTACATCAGAGAAACATCCCAAATGGAAACACCCCTGAGAGCTGCAAGGAAATTCCACCAAGCTGCCGTTCATGTGGTGAAAACTCTGCTTGAGAATCAGTCAGAATATCTTGGATGCTGCCAAAAAGTAAAATGGGAGAAAGAGAAAAGCCAAATCACTCAGACACCTGCCAGCTAGAGGACAGCAGCACGTTTGGGCTGGTGTTGGGAAGTTAATGCAGGGCAGCAGGAACCGGATGGCACAGGGGTTTCCTCAGGTGGGTGAAGGAAAGGGGGAAAATAATTTTCATCATTTATGCTGGAACTGGGTTTACATCACCTGGCAAAGTCTGCTAAATAAATCCGCTATCCCCAGCGGCAGCGCTGGGATAACGGGGCTGTTCCTTTACCCAAGGCTGAGGGAGCTCTGCTGAGCGTATGGCGGTTATGGAGAAAGAGGAGGCGCCGGTTCACGCAGATGCGGGTGAGCCCCGCAGCGAAGCTGTGGCGCCCCCGCTGCTTTGGGTTTCCGTGTGCGCTCCGGCTTTGCTGCTCCTTCCGCACCGGGACCGCGGTGCAGCCCGTGCCCGGCGGGGCTCCCTCCGCTCCCTCCGCGCTCCCGCGTCCCCGTCCCGGGAAGCTCCCGGTGGGGCGGCTGCAGGAGCCGCGCTCGGGGACGGGACGCAGGATCCCCGCAGGGCAGGGTGTGAAACAAGCTGTGTGTTTACATTATAATGTATGTCAAACACAAGCGGAACTTGGCAGATGTCCCTGGAAAGATATGCCAGATTTCACGTTAGAGTAACCCAGTGGTTTGTTACATTACAATCTTCATGACTGATAGTATTGGCTAGCACTCAACGAGAATATTTACAAGAAAAACAGTGGCTACGTCTGGCCACTTGTACATGGGATGTTTACTCTTAAGTAACAAGTTCTTAAAAGTGCCTAAAAGGCACTCAAACTGTCATACTGCTGTTTACTCTCCTAAGGCTGCATATACCTGGAAAGATCTTGAAGGCCAAAACCTATGGCTAATGTGACTATTCACTGCAGAATTCCTTGTGTACTTACGAGTTTTTAAGTTACTGTTGTCCTCGAATGGAACAGCAGACAGTATCCACAAAGGCAGAGAACAGGACAGGACAAGGTGAAACTGTGTGGATAGCAATAGTGCTTCAAAGATAGTCCCTAGCATGAGCAGGTAGGTGCTGAGGAGAAGGGCTGCTGATAGCTGTGAGGCAGCTAACTCCATGATAGGAAGTTCACCCACATTCGGAAGGAGATTCCTGCACGTGGTGCTGGGTGAGGAGTGCCCACAGACATCCATGGAGGCTCAAGGGTGGCCAGATGCTGCTCTGGTGCATGGGGCTGCCCAAGGAATCTGTTTGCAGGTCAGGTGTCCCCCGTGCTCTGAAATGGACATCTAAGCTCTGCTTCGACCGCAGCCTTTCACCTCCTGCACCTCTGGTCTTTCATGTGCTGGAAAACAGATTCATGACATGGTTGTAAAACAAGTGTCTCTGGGACCTCAGACTGCTCAGGGTGCAGGTCCTCCAGAGTGTGCAGGTCCTCCAGAGCGTGCAGGTCCTCCAGAGCGTGGAGGTCCTCCAGAGCGTGCAGACCCGATCGGACAGTGACGCCCGTGTGTGCAGGACGTGCTGACGGGGACACTGGGAGCTCCTCTGAGCTCACCTCCCGGCAGCCAGGCTGCTCGCAGCATCAAACCCCCGTGCTGTCTTTGAACAACAGTGTGACCTGCCTGGGGTCCGTGACATGTGTCGGTGGTCTGGCATGAGCTGACAACAAAAATATGCAAAGCCCACAGGGAGCACACATTTGGATGGCTTAAGAACATCCAGACATGACAGAGATTGTTATTTTTCGTATTTACGGTAGGTGCTTTGTAATTAGGATGTTTGCTTCCTCAGAGAGGGGACGAATACAGTCGCTGGCTTCTCTGGTCATGGAGATGGCAACTGCTGATCTGCAGGGTGAAGAGCAGCAGGACCTGTGTGAGGATCTGTCTTTGCTTTCAGGGGTTAGGAAGAACATAGAGTTTTACAGAGAAATCAGATTGGAGAACTCACCGGTTCCGATGGTATCTCAGTAAGCCTGTTTGGCAATCTCCTTTATTCTCCTATAAAACACACACACAGTACAACTGCTGACCCTAGCATGGAGCAGAGCACTGGGTGTCTAGACACTTGGAAAGTGCCTTTAAACATAAAAGTTCTGGCATGAGGTTCCCCACAAACTATCAGATAACAGCACAGCTTTCTGGATAGATGCCGGGTATGTGCATGTTTTGGCAAGCAGTAACAAACGTAAGTATTTTTTTCTCTTCCATACGATAAATCATTTCAATGATAGTAATTTGGAAAGAAGGTTCTGTGCCTGTACAGGTGGCCATTTCATGCAATTCTACAAGTTTCTGTAAGAACTGTTAACATTGCTGAAGTGCCATCAGGCGAATCAAACACAAACATGACTTTCAAAGGAACCATTTATTGTTACTGAAGCATTCAAGTGTTCTATTTTCACAGAATCACAGAGTGGTTGAGGTTAGAAGGGACCTCTAGACACCATCTAGTCCAACCCCCTGCTCCAGCAGGGACACCCAGAGCACGTGGCACAGGGTGGCATCCAGGCGGGTTTGGAAGATCTCCAGAG